ATATATATATATATATATATATATATATATATATATATATATATATATATGCATGATATGCAGTTAAGGTTTTTTAGGTGATCGTTTCATATCCTCTCAGGCCAGGCGTTCGCTTTCCGTTCAGTATTTTTTTCCTAGGGCTATCTTCGTTACTTCGCTTAATTTTTTCCCAAGACCTATCGAAAATTATGCCCACTTCAGGATGGAAGGGGTCATAGCGTTCTAATCCAACTGCTAGTTCAATGAAATTACTATGCAAAAAAACATTAATAGTTTTACTACAGGACACGTTATTGAAGATAGTTTACAAATCGCAACTCATGGAAATGTGAAAGCCCATATTCAATAAGTTCGGAACATCAATAACCTCAAAGAAAGTTACCCAGGATTTTGAGAACCCGGTAGTAATTCTGTGAGTCTTGGATCATTCCGCTTAATCTGACTTTCTCTCTTTTCAAATTCCACCGTTCAATGACGGTGAAAACAATGTGGATATTGAGCGAGTTAACACCGTCGAATAAATAATGTGGCTTTGAGATTCTTCCAACGAACGGGTCGTCATAAAACCCAGTGGAAAGATAACTCAAAGTTGAACGGGAAAATGTTTGTAACAGCTCAGCTCAGACGGATGTCAGCGACAAAAAACACCGGAGTACCGCAATACAGCCATACCGCTTACCGTAAACGCCCCGAAACTGGCCAAACCTCCTGGTGTGAAGTTGAACGAGTGTGTATGGATGAGTGTTTTCAACAGAGCCAACACGAACATGGAGACCATGGAAGCGAATAACTGTGGCGGACAAAAAATAGCATTCAAGTGTATAAGCAATGGTGTGGTTATAGCGAAATGTGGAGACCATAGGAAAAGATAATGATAAGTAAAGTGAGTACTAGTAAACATTAGAAGACTCTGTCGAAGGTATCTGACCTTCGAATTTTCCTCCGTCTAGGAAGGGGGCTATGTTCAGTCTATATTTACATATTCTGTTTGAGGAGTGTTGCTCAGATAGTTCTGGCTGCATTCAGAGTTGAAATTCAACAGTTTTGAAAACGACAGTTAATTTCGAACGTGGGGGACTCCATTTGTAAGAAATTTCATGAAGCCCTTCCAAAAATCTATTTCTGCGGCATATACATATAATGTCTGTGGCATTTAGTATCACCCTCACTATAGATACAATGACCTATTGAAGAAACTGAGGGCGTTTTGATAGATAGCAATGGGACGACCTCTGTGCCTCAACATTCAGTTTTACTTTAGAGTATGTTTGGCGCACAGTCACGCCTAAAGTTGGTTTACTTGGCTAAAATCGTGGGTGCCATTGCAGAGCAGTTCTGAGAAAACAGGTTTCCTTGGTGCTGTGATTTGCGCCTCCCCTTTGTCGCTCGTTCTGAGGTGTCTCCGTGAAACAGTCGGCACTGTTATTTAATCTCAACTCAGTTGTAAGCAACTCAACCAGTCGATTTAGAGCGTTCTATGGGACAAAACGTCCACCAAAGCGAATTTGTCTCACACTGGACAGAAGCTTGTGAAGTGCAGGCACTCTGCACTCTTAGCAGACTTTCGGAAGACAGAGCAACACGTAGTGTTACCAGAGTCATCCGAGACCGAAAAAGACGTCTGTTCTCTGTCATGTACCCACAGCATACACAATATCCTGAGGAACTGTGTTAAAAACTGTGAGTAGAAGCATAAACTACCCTCTACTCTTTGTGAAGAATGATATACTACCAACAGCATTTATACAGGGGTTAGTTAAAAGTCGCTTCCTGCTGGGTGCTCAAACTTCACAATAAAAAATCTGAAATAGTAAACAAGATTCCTCTATTCACCTACAAATTCCTGGAACAGGTAAACGCACATTGGCCAACCGCGAACCCGTATTGAGCAAATGTGGGAGGACAGATGAATGTTGAAAATGAAAAGGCGGTAAGTACATGCCACCTGAAAAATGCCAACATAGAGTTTAACAATTAGTCTTTGCGTTCATCAATCGATTCATTCACAGATCTGAGGAAACAGATACTGACCTAAGGCCCGCCCAAAGAAATTCACATATTGCTTGCTGACCTCAGTTCAATTTAGGGAAGCCGAAGTATCAATCACCAGCCACCTAGTCGAGATAGGGTTGAAATTTTCTCTTCATCCCAAATCACAACACGAGGCAGACTACCATTGGGAGTAATATTCTTAGATTGATTAGCTATTGATTGGCTTTTGTATAAATATAACAAATGATGAGTGCATCAAATCGTTGCACAGCAAGGAATTTTCTGATATCGGCCATGACTTTGTTCAACATTGAGTTGGAATAGATGGACCTTTTCTAGATAAGCCCCGCCACAAAATTAACCCCTGCCACTGCTGGGGAAAGACTCGCCCTACGTGGTTTTTACGGCGATATATTAGCGTTTCATCGATCTCGACGTGTAGACCTGGGCCGCCGGTAACTGTTGAAGTCTGCAAAAGCCGCCAGGCGCAAACTTCGCGAAGAAAGTTCTTTTAGTCAACCGTGATCCTGTGGCTAATGGATAATCCGTCTGAGCAGAATTTGATTTTTGCCACATTTTGGACGAGCAATAAATGAACAGAATTACTGTCCTAAACTCCATCCTACACCGCTCCAACCAGCTTCCCTTTCGAAGACCGATTTCTTGCCGACACTGTCGGGCATTTCACTTCCACCTGTCAAAAACAGTTGAAAGTGTCACTCCGTGGCTTAGCAAAAAACGTATTGCCATCTCCTTGTCATGAACGAGAGTTGAAAGCGTCAGAAAGTTCATTCAGGGTTTTACGTCCGAGCGGAGAAAATTTTTGCACGAAATGAGCCTAGATGCGGATAAGGAAGGTCAAGGTTATGTACGCACATTAAAATTGGAGCTGGAAAAAAGTGGCGGGGCTTATCTAGAAAAGATCCGACTAGATTATGGTATAATCTTTTTTCGGCAACTAAATGCTTCCAAGGTGTAATATTCATAGCCCTCAAAAACCATAACACCATTACTGCAGCTTCCTTCACCTGATTCAGGCTACGTCGGCTTATCAGTGGACTCAATAGTCAATCATTCTTGTATGTCTATTTGGCAGAAACATTGAGTTCAGTTTCCACCACTGCATTCGGTTTGATGAATCCCTGTCGCCGGAGTAAGCCCAGGAATCTTGATCCCTCTTAATGGTGGTTCTACGAAGATCTGTGGGAAATTTTGGTCCGGTGATATTGCAACTATTTAACGTTTACCCATAAAACAGTAATAAACCTATTAGGATGCACTAGGCGATTCAGCTGGGTGGTTGCTCGACCTCCCCCTAGACTACCCTTTGTTCCGAATTCCCCATCAATAGAACATTCTTCACGGATTCGCGCTTATTCAGGCTTTTCCATGAAACCTTCGTATTGACTAGGTCGAGCTGACTTGACCGACACTGACCTACTGATAACATGGCCATAACCACTGGAGCACTATCAAGCACGCCACGCGAAGCTGGTGTGTAGTTGCTATGTTCTCTGTTGACGTTTGGCTACGGTACTGAAAGGTCAACTTTCCCATCTACACTATTGGAGTGACCGACATCAAGCCATTTGTTGTAAGGGATAGTACTTCGCTGTGAGGAGGGTTGTATAATCACAAAATTTTCCCCCACGCGACGGGCATCTCCATATCTAGGGAAATAGTAGGACCGGTTGGAAAAGCCTGGCCTTAAAAAACTCACATTCCGACGAGCCAACCACTGATCCCAACCCCGACGAGTAATATAATACAGCCGACATTTCTCTAAAAACCTAAAGTCTGGTGCTGCTCAAAAAGCTTCCTCTGTGCGCAGTGTGTTAGACTGCATGCTTTAATTCCTGAACCCTCGGGCAGTCCATGCTGCCTTGTGAGTCAACGAATCAGTATGGGGCCTCCAGAGTAAGTCTACATCGCCGTCACAAAAAAAACTAGGTTTCCTACACACGACACCAGCCAGCACAGAAAGAAAGAAGCACATTTCGCCACTTGAAACACTGAACGTGAGGACTCCTCCGGACAGTGATGGGGGCCTGAAGACGACTAGTCTCATTGCGACGAGACTCAAATGCTACGGGACTTAACAGCACTCAGCGAAACCAGTTACATGAGAGCGGTTCCATTTCCATATACTGGAGATGAACAACAAAAGAATACCGACGACAACACGATACTGGATTCGCAGCCGATTACCACATGAACGCATGGTGGATGAACCAAACTGCAGCAACTCGAAGGTCCTCATTAGTTACACGAATTTCGACAGCAAGTTTGCCAGATTTGACAGCACGTATACTTCCATAAGAACTATCGGGTGGGGAAAAGAAAAATTCCGTGACCAGCTGTCCGAACTGAGCAGAATTTCATCTGTAAACAATCATTTTTCCTCTCACGTAATTTCAATGGAGTTGGCAAAAGAATTAACCTGGAAGATGTAGAGGCACTCGGCTTAGCCCCTGGGTGAATCTCCCATTCGTGATAGTATGTGCTACACAAAGGCCATTGTCTCATATTTCGCTTGACACGATAGCCGACATCTCGAGATATATTTTACTGACACAACAGACAAATTATGGGGTTACCGAAAACTCTTCGAAAAGAAAACCATGAACGAGATGTTTAACTGAATTTCAGGTAAGACGGCGTTAGCATCAAGTTCATTTGCTAATGGGTGTTTCATCATTTGCGCACAATTTAGTGTTTGACTGGAACATAGATAGTTCAGCTGTTGCCACCTTTCGGTACCCAGCTGCCATGCCACCCGAAGAAGGCTTGAAGTTTGAGATACTGGCAGATTGCTTAAGCCTAGACAGGAGCAGACAAGATGCTGAGGTTGGGTTCGAACAACGGACCTTCCAGTCATGTGGGCTGGCACCTTAACTACTGAGCTATCTCGAGCTCATTGGAACGTAAGGTGGATTGGAACCCAAGGACTACGCGTATCTGATGAGCCTCAAGGTGGGAGAAACTCGTAATGTGCTGTTGGAGATTTTTCAGCAACCTTATAAGTAGCGTTATGTCACGACTCTTTGGAATTAGGTCATTCAATGTGTTCAACATCTGAAATTCTATTAGGCGACATGCATTGCAATGCGCTAGTTGCAAGAACCTGCACAAAGTATAAAACTGCTACGCCAAGACCAGGAAGGAAAGCAACCCAATTGGATGTAATGCGACCAGAGAATCAGGGAACCAGATTCCAAGAAGGTCTTGAAGGTCGTAAGCCCGGGTGAAAACAGGCAACTACTTAGATATCACTGAACTGAAGCTAGAATGCAGGACAGACTGGTCGGAGAAATATGAAAAATAAACCGGAAAATACCTCTCTAACATCCCTTCACTGAGACCCACTGGAGATATCTATGGATCTCCATACCATGTGAATGCCAGGCTAAAGAGTTGACGAACTGAGCTATCGTGGCAACTTTGCAAGTAAAAACACAGAGTAGGACTAATTATTCTGTTACACATTTCCAGCTTACTGTTGTCCATTATCCAGGTGACCACATACGCTAACCATAGATGTTTACTACATACTGACCTCAAAGGATGAGCGTAAGGCTAAGTAATGAATGTCCGGTTTGATTTTAACGGTAGGCTGTCAACATGATAGCATTCCGATGGAGTCCGGATCTGGAACACTGAAAAATAGATGATCAATTTTTCAAACAGGGTGTTTGCCGCAGTACTACATGCTCAACTATCACAGAACGGGCGTGCCTACACCCATCGGCTGTCTTTTATCAGAGTGATCTTCACTTTCTGAAGGGATTCTATTTCTCACTAGTTGTTCACCAGTCACGCGTCGTCCGTGAACAGGTAAACAAGAACGCTTTCTTGTACAATGAACAAAATAGACCCCACCAATAAGGGGCCCTCGTATGTTTACATGACTGCTGGCGACACGCTGCCAATACTGAGTTCCCACGTCAGGATGAGAGAGACTATAAAGTACCACAATCGGCACCAATTTAAACCCCAGCGATAAAAAACATGCCATGCCAAAGCAAGTTAACAACTATTCGGGAGCCACTTTTCATCCACAATGTTAGCATAATATGTGGGCACTATGGCTCACTTGGCAAACCAATAGCAGTGAAAGGTAGGGTACGCCGGACAACGCCACTTGTTCAGATAAAATTAAGCGCGAATATACACAAGACGTCGTGTCAGTAGACTAGGGCTTGATGGTAGAAGTTGAGCTTCTTGTAGGGATCAAAATAGATCCGACGACAGGTGTATTGTTGTCAAATAGGAAGCAGAACGATAAAACGGCATATTTTTAATGGCGACTAATGAAGAGCAACCAGTCAGTTACTCGTTTGTGAAACTCCGACCCACCGTATCTCTACAGGAGTAACTGAATGCCAGCAAATGTGGCAAGTTCCTTGATCTTCTCTGAGCTTTCCTTCAGTAAAAAAAAAACATTCTCGTGATTTTTGTTCATTGACTTTAATTTTTCGCACTATTGAAGAAAAACATGGGTCTCAGTTATCACACTCACCAGTAGCGACCATTGAGAGAGAATCCGTACCTCGTTTTCAGAACGAAACTAAACCCAATTACATCAAACTACGACGCGGTAAACGAAACTGTGGCAGCTAGAACCACTGTAAGGCAAGTGCGCTGGTTGATTATTATTACTATTATTATTATTATTATTATTATTATTATTGTATAAAAGGTTCCTAAAAGGGACTGATGCTTCTAACATAATCAATAGGATGTGACATGCTTTCATGTGGTTTTCTCCACTGCAGGTGACCCGATTCACCTTGTTCTGGGAGAAATTCGCTGCAAGATGCCAGCAGTAAGCCTTAATACTTGGTCAGTGGTCTGCTCACTCAGTACAAAAAACTGACACGGTTTCACAACCAGTCAAGGTGCGTCTTTGTGTAGTGAAGCGATGCGATGCACTAGTGACATCTGTGCTATCGACATTCCCGTCATTAGTAAGCTCAATCAATCTTTATGAGGGCAATGAACACTTTGTCTCCTTTGAACACATGACAAAATGTAAGTTGCTAACACCGGAATTTAAACAGGGAGTGATAGCAGTGGGAAGACGAGCTCAAAGAGGAGGGCAAACACCCAGTACAGCAACCTACGAAACGGAACGTACGCTGAGACCTGAAGTCCTTGCGGTCGTACTGACTTTGCCAGAGAGTGCAAACTCCGCCTTGATCGATGTAAAATGTGTTGGCCGAAAATCATGCTGGCCATCTGGTCAGATTATTTAAATTAGGTTAGGAAACTAGAAGCATCAAAACAACCGCTTAGGTGCCTTTAGTAGGCAAGAAAAATAATCTGGCTGTTTCAATTGTCCTACTAGAATGCTAGACGACCATAGAGGTTACAACTTGTACTAGGAGTCTACCAAGACCGTGTGTAACTCTTATGGTTAGGCCAATGAATGAGCAAGACATAATATAACTAGTACATGGAAAATCAATGCAAAACTCACTATTGTCCATGTGAGGCGCTGGTATACAAAGCTTGCTCCTTCCTCCAACGCAAACAGCAATCCACCAACAGGTGCGCCAAATGCAGCCGCAACACCAGCCGCCGCGCCGGCGCTGACAAAGTCTCGCTTCTGTCGATCGTTTCGAAAGAATCTCAGAGAACGGAGCGACCACCGGAAGAACATCACACGACCTTGGGATATCCCCGCGGCAACCACCGAACCTATATGGATCATCGGACCTTCTTTACCCACTGCAAGACCACCTGAAACGGCTAAGACGACGCCAGCACCCTTCACAAACATGGTGAGACATCTCATGAGTCGTGGAATATTAAGTCCATTTAGGTAGCACTTGATCTGAGGAATCCCACTCCCAGCAGCAACTGGCTAGAAAACAAGAGGGGTCAAAAATGTACAAAATACTCACCGCCAAAAATACCACTAACAAGGATGAAACGCCCACGAGAAACATATTAATAAAACACCAAGTGAATCCAGGCACGGCAGTCACCCATCCAGTGTGATACTGATTGATCACTGGGATCATTTAGGAAATAGAAAATGTGTGCTATTTTTACGGTACAAATCTTATGAAGACGCACAATGTACTTAAAGGATACGCGATGAAACCACACGGTACTTGAACTCCGAAATCAACTCAATCAAATAGTCCATTAACGAGGCAGAGGCGGCAGTGATCAATCCAATGAGAAAAAGAACGAGATGCCGCAGAAATTCGATATAATACCTTTTCGTCTGGAAGATCATATAATTGTTCGCGTCATTCAATAACCCAACTTACAGATGTCCCATTTCTGATATTCTCTTCAATGAAAATCGGATTCTGAACGGGATCATAACCGAAACTCTAGAACAGTTTAACTAATCCAGTGATGCTTGAAACGAATACCTCAATTTCTTGATCTAATATTTCGTGTGGCTTCAATGCATCCCTGGTGAAAGACTGTTGAGTGGATGGGCCCGTTTCGCGCTGATGTCCATAAACTGGCGCAATAAACTGACAAATTTAGGAAATGGGACACAAAAAACTCACCTCCACATCACTAGATATAGCTAGACGAGCTGCGTACGGTGCTGGTCCGTTCCTAGTACCGAATCGCCTGTTGAGCAGTGGTTCACTTGCGTCATCGTCGCCCATGGGAAAAGCTACCAGCAGTCTGGAAAATGAAGATCTGGTGGGTAGTCGAGGAGAGAGGCTTAAACTAGGGGATCCATCGTTCGCGTCTATCAGTCGTTCCAAAGACCATCAACGCCGCCCGAAGAGAGACTGGACCTTACGGGATCCTACGTCTGAAGTAAAGCCCTGGTAAGGTGAACCTGAAACGCCCTATGATCTCAAAGGTTTGGCCGTATATGTTCCTTGAGGGGCCACCCGCATTGATCAAAGACGGTGGTGTAGTCAGGGCTCGTCTGATTTGTTTGCCTGAACTTTGGAAACAGAGACTTTCGCAGACAGTTGGGAAGTATCATGGATAATGCCGTAGTGTGTTAATCACATGGTGATCAGCTTCATCCATCATAACGAGACTCTCAGTTTCAGTTGTTTTCCGTCACCTTATGGTGGCGCATGAAACAGAAAGCGGGATTCCGGCCTAGTGGGGGTTGCGTTGACCGAATTTTCACCCCTCCGTCATACGTGTAAATGACCCATAATTTTGGTATTCCCAGATATCCCAGGCGTATTTGCAGTCCAAGACGACCGCCCGATCGGGCCTTGGCAGCGATAAGCCTAGCGATGGGCCTACCTCCGGTAACGACAATAATACCTGGGCTCTTAGCCCGCCACGGCAAGGTACGCGGGGCTTCGTAAAAGAACTGTCTCTAAGTGCACTACAGCTACACTCTGTTGGGAGGTAAGCGGCTTGTTTCAAACTGCCAAATGCATTGAGCGTCGCAGGTTGAAGAATGACTTAGAA